GATTTAACTCAGAATGGCAATAAAAATGACCCGTAGCACCCACTCCAACTGTATTTGGTTTACAACCCCCTTTCAGCACTGAATTTATGGACAAAAATCCATTTTCAACAAGTGTGTTTGCTGGTGTTACAAAACAAAATCAAATTGAAGTGAATTCGAATGATACCCCCAAAACACAAACATTGTGGGAAAAAGTTAATTCAATAATCGGAGAAGTTAAGAACAAACCAACGAAAGTAAATAAAAAAGACAACGAATATGAGAAATCACAAATACCAACTGAGAAAAAGAGTGAAAGTATATCTGAAAATGACACATCGAAATTTAAAATGACATCTGATTGTTCTAAGAATTTGGATTATTTAAGCCCGTCCATTATTAAGCCTACAATGTTCTTGTCTGAAAGTGATAAGATGAACATTAAACCAGTTGAAAAAAAGAAATAAAAACGTTTTTTAAAACATTTTTTATTAATGTTTTTATTATAGCATAAATTTAATGATGTATTCATTATTTATTTATTAAAAAACAAACAGATAATTGTCGTGCACTAAGTTTTATCACATTTTTCTGTATAATTTTAAGTTTTTGTTTTTAAAGGCTATTTATTCATGATTAGTCAGTCATTTTTTACATGATGAAATATATTTCTATTTTTTATTTGTTTAATACTAAAAACACAAGTCTAAGACTATTTTTTTGTTGTACAATTTTTTTTAGTGATAATAAGTGACTTAATTTATGTGACATTTAATGTTATTTTTAAAAATTATAATTTCTTAAAATATAAATAATACCAGTATATAAAACTTGTTATTATTTTATACATGTATCATTGAGTTTTATTAATTCTTTACAATTATCAAATATGCATTTGGTTTATTAACAAAATATAAATAATTCAATAGAGTCAACTTATTACAAACAAAATAACCACATTTGAAAAATATGTAATTTGATACTTTTAAGTCATAAAAATGTAAATAAAAGGGTTGTTGACAAGTTTAAATAAATAGACTTTAATGGACTGAATGCAGTTATAATATACTTATTAAAGTTTTATATCGTTATTATATATACTTGAAACAAACTTCAAAAAATTATTTAAAAAATATATGTGACTTACGATGATCAA